TTAATTGATTTTAATGATTTACATTTATTAAAACAATAACATCCAATTTCATTAATTGATGTTGGTATATTAATTGATGTTAATGATATACATTTATAAAAACAATAATCACCTAATTTACTAATTGATGTTGGTATATTCATATTAGTTAATGAAGTACATTCATAAAAACAATAATCTCCTATTTTAGTAATTGATGAAGGAATAGTAATAGATTTTAATGATATACATTTATAAAAACAATAATCACCTAATTTACTAATTGTTATAGGTAAATTAATACTAGTCAATCTTGTACAATTCAAAAAACAATTATCTCCTATTTCATTAATTGTTAATGGAATAATAAATTCATTAATATCTTGTTGCCGAATAAGTCTTTTATTAATTAATTTTAATTTTTCTGGTATTTCAATACTAATTAATACTGGTTCATTCATAAATATTCTATTTTCACAAATATATTGTACATATTCTATACTAATATTAGTTAATGAATTACATTCAAAGAAACAATTATTTCCTATTTTACTAATTGTTGATGGAATATTAATTCTTGTTAATGATAAACATCTAAGAAAACAACTATTTCCTATTTCTTTAATTGTTGTTGGTATATTAATGTTTGTTAATGAAGTACATGAATATAAACACCAATCACCTATTTTACTAATTGTTGTTGGTATATTAATATTACTTAATAACTCACATGCTCCAAAACACCAATCACCTATTTCTTTAATTGTTGTTGGAATATTAATATTAGTTAATATTGCACAATTATCAAAACATCCATATCCTATTTTACTAACTGTTGATGGAATAGTAATTGATTTTAATGATGAACATTCATAAAAACAGTGCTCTCCTAATTCATTAATTGTTGTTGGAATATTAATTGATCTTAGTGATGAACATTCATAAAAACAATAATCTCCTATTTTACTAACTGTTGATGGAATAGTAATTGATGTTAATGATTTGCATTTATAAAAACAACTATTCCCTATTGATGTAATTGTTGTTGGTAAAATAACTTCTTTTAATAATAAATGTTCTGAAAAATGATTTGCTTCTAATTTACTAATTGTCGTTGGAACAGTAATACTGACTATTTGTTTATGTCCATAGTAATTATAATTTGTTAATGAGGTTGGTGTTAAATAAGGAGTGATATTACTTAAAAAAGTATAATCACCAAATATATTATTACTAGTTGTTATAACAGAACTTGGAATATCTATGTGTGTTAATGATGAACATCCTTTAAAACATTCATCTCCTATTATACTAATTGTTGATGGAATTTTAATACCACTCAATGACAAGCAATTATTAAAACATTTATTTCCTATTTTACTAATTATTGTTGGTATATTAATTGATTTTAATGTTGTACATTCAGAAAAACATTCACTTCCCAGTACGCTAATTGTTGTTGGTATATTAATTGATTTTAGAGATTTACATTGACTAAAACATTTTTTTCTTAATTTCCTAATTGTTGTTGGAATATTAATTGTTGTTAGTGATGAGCATCCACTAAAACATTCAATTCCTATTTTATAAACTGAAGTCGATATGTTTATCATTGTTAATGATGAACATTGACTGAAACAATAATCTCCCAATGATGTAATCGTTGATGGTATATCAATTCTTGTTATTCTTGAACATTCATAAAAACAATTATCTCCAAGTGATTTAACTTCTGGTGGTATTGTATTTTCATCTGTATTTCTATCTAATTTTGTATACACACTCTTTTTACATATATTTCCTGCTTCTTTCTCTTTTAAATATGTTGAATAATCTACTGTATACCATATTATTGCTTTATTGATTCTTCCATCATCAAATATTTCATCATATTTATTATAAATATGAAATGTTTCAATATTAGGAAACAATTTTCTTGAATATTCATTTAATGGAATTGGATTAAAATGAAATCTTTCCATATTTCCTTGAAATCTTTTAATTCCTATTTCTAAATTAATAAAATCTTTAATATCATTAAAATATTTTGATGTTATCATTATTTCATTATATCCTATTCTTCTTTTTCCATTTATTCTTTTATTGATTTTATTATTGTATATTATTCTTTTGATATTTATTATCATTTCTCTTTCTGATGAATATTCTGAATATTCTTCTTCTTTTTCTATCATTTTTATTATTGTTTTAATATATGTTTCTTCGTTGATTTCTTCATATCTCCATCTTTTTGTGTTTATTTTGATTTCTTCTTTATATCTTTTTTTAATTTTATTATTTATTATTATTCCTTTCTCTTCTTTTTCTTCTGTTATTATTCTATTGATTTCTTTATTTTCTTCTGTTGTATTGTTTGTTCTTATAGTATTTATTATTCTTATTTTTATCTTATCTCTTTCTCTTTTAATATTTCCATATGTTATTTCTGTATTTTCTATGATAAGAATTGGTGTTTCTATGTTATATGCTTCTGAAAGTATTCTTTCAATTATATGATATTTCCGTATGATTTGTACATTATTTAATCTTCCCAGTTTTGTTGAATTTTCTATTCTTCTTTCATTTCCTTGACTTGTTCCATTAGGAATACAAATGATTGTTCTTTCATTTTCTCCTTTCTTTTCTACTTCTTTCTTAATATTATTGAATATTATTGATAATTTACTTTCTGGTTTAATCATCATTTCTACTCCTTTAATATTTTCTTTTCTAATTTTCACATTCTTCTTATCATTGGAAATGATTTCTTCAATTATTTTCTTTTCTTCTTCTTTTAAATATTTCATTCTATCAATTCTTTCATATTCATTTCCATCATACAAATACACATTCATTTCATCATATTCAATATCAATTATCATTGTTATCATTCTTGGTTTCATCTTTTATTTATTTTTAAGTTATTTTTAAATTAATTTCAATTTTCAATTAAAAAACATTATTTTTATTTTATCCTTATTATTAATTGAATTAAATACATATGTTAATCCACATTATTAACACTACCTTGTTATTAATTATAATCACATTTTCTTTTATTTTTGTTATTATTTTTATTAAACAAATTAAAGTATTTTAATCCTTTCATTGTATTATTGTTATCATTTATTTAGTTTCATCTTTATGATTATTATTTCATTATTAAGATGATTTGAAATAATGGTATTTAATTTGAATTGAAATGAATTTTTAATAATCAAAGTGTGATAACTCATTTAATTGTAAAAATGATAAAAAAGTGGATTAGTTGTATGAAGAATGAAATGAAATAGAATTAATTCATTGTTATTATTTTAATATTTTCTTTTTATTTTAACTCAATTTTCTTCATCACCTCTTCATTTCACTATTAATTTTTCTATTATCATCTTTATATTGGTCAAGTTACTCATTTATCAATCACATTTGATATTAAAAATAATAATTACAATGTGAATTATGTTTATTAAATACTATAAAATAACATAAATAATAATGAAATAATAATATATAATAAATAATTTATTTCTGTTAGTATAGAATTACAATAAATTTATGATATGATTTGAGTTAAAATGTTATTAAGAAAGAATAAATGAAATAATGAACAAACATGATTATAAAATAATGATTATATAAATTATCATTATGGATATTATCATTGTTTAAATCATTTTTTCTTAGTCATATTATTTATTAATTTTATTCTATTTCTGTTTCAATGTTTGCTTTTATTTTTTTATCTCTATTATTCATCATATATAATTAATATTTCTCTATTAAATTCTCATCTTTAGTATTTTTTTCTTTCTTAATTTTTTATTTAATTTAATTCTCATACTTATTAACAACAACTTTAATTCATATTATTTAAAGTATTATCAATTTATTTTATTGTTATATTCTTTATTTATTATCTAATTTTCTCTATTATCTTATTGTCTTTCTTCTCGTTTATTCTTTAAATTTTATTTCCTTTATCTTTTTCATCATTTATCGAACTTTTGAAATATTATTGTTCATGTTTCATTACCAACAACTTCTTTCTTTTCTCTTTATTTATTTTCTATTATTTTATTTGATCTTCACTATTTGTTTAGTACCATTTGTAGTTAATTCTTTCATCTTCTCTTTATTATCATGTATTTCTTGTTTAATAGATTCATCTTCTTCACTCTATTCTTTAGTATTATGATATATCTTTCTTTCACCTTGTTTTAGTTTGTTCTTGAAAATTTCTTCATTATTTTGAATCTATTTTCTTGTTTGTTCATTTTTTGGATTTTAGTAATAAAAAAAGAGAATTAAACATAACCTATTGTTAAAAGTCAATTTGTTATTGTGTATTAGTGATAACATGAAAGAAATACTCAATTGAATTAAATAATTAGTAACATTTATAAATACAAATATAATGGTAATTAAATTATTAAAAAATCAATCAAATAAGAAAAAAAAAAAAATATTAAAATTTAAAAAAGATCATTTAATCATTCATATTCTTCATAATTGATTTAATAAATCAAGTCCTTCTTTTGCTACTTGATAAACAAGATCTGTTGTTTTAAAATCATTGATTATATTTTTTAATAATGGAATCATAAATCCTTTCATTGCTCTTCCTGTTTCTCCATTTAACATTGGAAGATCTTGAAGAATAACATCACACATCATAGATAATATTTTTGGATTAATTGCACTTTTATTAAGATCATATAATGAAACAATTCCACTAATAGCTTGTCTATAATCTTTAATATCAATAGATATTATAATTAAATTCTTCCATAATTCTTCACTTGTTCTAATATTTCTAACTGCTTCTTTTAATGCAACTTGTGCTTCTCTTTTATTTCCTTCTAAACTATGAACATATGCTAAATTAGCCCAACTTTGTCCATCATCTGAATCTAAATTAACTCCTTTTAAAAATGCTTTTTTAGCTCCTGAAATATCTGAAATTTGAAGACAACAAATTCCTAATGCAAACCAAAGTCTTTGATAAATAGGATTAATTTCTAATGCAATATTAAAATGTTTTTTTGCTTCTTTCCATTCTTTTTTATTAAAATAATGTTGTCCAAGAATACGTTCTGCATGAACATATGTATGATTAGATTCTTCCCAACTTTCTATAAGATATTTTGGTTCTTTAGTAATTTCATACATTAATACTTTTAATTCTGGTTCTTTATTTCCTTCTGATAATAATTCTCTTGCAATTTCTTCTGCTTTTTCTTTTTCTTTTATTGAAATATATGCTGCTATAATTTCAATTTTCATATTAAGTCCTGAAAAATAATTAATTGCTGCTCCTGATTCTCCCATTAATAACATTCTCATTCCTGTTTCTTTTCTTAATGAAAAAATATTAGGAATCATTGTCATATAAATACTTTCTAATCTTTCTTCACTTGAAATTTCTTCTTCTCCTTTTTCAATTATTTTAATAAGATCATCTGCTTGTTTAACTGATCTCCATAAAAAATGTTTTACTGTTGCTTCATATCTTGATTTTAATATTACTCCCATAATAAATGTACTAAAATCTATTTTATCTCTTAATACTCTATTACAATATGGAATTACTTCTTCTAAAATAAGTTCACTTTTACAATTTTTTCTATATCTATTCATACATACTAGTAATACATATGCTTCATCATATGTTGATAATGGTGTATATCCAATATCTCCTGAATATTCTGTTTGTGATAACATATCATTATCTTCTTCTAATTCCGTTTCTTTTAATATTTTTGAACATTTTTGTCGTTTAATTTCACTTACTACATGTGGTTTTCTTTCGACTTTAACATATATTTGTGCTGTTTCTTTTTCTTGATATTTTGTTCTTTTTCCCATTGCTCCACTTATTTCTACAAATATTTTTTCTTCTTGACTTATTTTATTTATTTCTTCTTTAACTTTTCGATATTGTTCTGATGCCCATAATCCAATACATTTTTCATTATTGATTTTTGCTTTTATTCTTTCATATAATATTTTATTAATTTCTTCTTTAATATTTTCTATTTCTTTTATTCCTTCATTATATCCTTTTATAATTCTTGTAACTAATGATTCTCCTGGATTTTCTAATACTCTTTGATGAATCATTGCTTCTCTTCCTATAAAACAATTTATTAATTTAACTTTTTTTTCTTTTAATATTCCAAATATTTTAGCTGATGTATGTAACCATAATGAATTTACAATATGTTTATTTACTTGTTCTCCATCAATACTTAAATATTCTATTTCTTTTTTTGATTCTTTTTCAATTTCTAAATTAAATGGTCCAACAAAATTCATTCTAACAAATCCATTTAATAATGTTACTCCAATTATTAATTTATCAATATCTCCAATATTTATTATTGGAACTTCTTCATATTTAATATTTCCATATTCTTTCATTATTTTATATACATCTCCTTTTAATGCTATTTCAATTTTATGATTTAATTCTTCACTTATAAGTGCTGTTTGATACATTTCATGTAATACTTTTGGTTGTCTCCCATCAACTAATGAAATTGAAACAATAGTTTCTTCCATTATGTTAATTTGATTATTTAGTTATTTTTTATTTCTTGATGATGTGAAAACCACGTATACTTTCCTTTAAACTTGATTTATTCAAATAATATAAACCCTAAAATTTTCTTAAAAAAAAAAAAAAAAAGAAATAGAGAGAAAAATCTTAAAGAAAAACAAATTTATTCTTAATAATTTAAATTTATGGACATCCAAACTGAAGTTGAAACATTAAATGCAATTTATGGAGATAAAGTAAATTATGAAAATAATATTCTTTCATGTACTATTGAAGAAATAGTTGATGAAAATCTTCAAATAGTTAAAGGTGAAATAACAATTAAATTTACTATTCCTGAAGATTATCCAGAAACACATCCAACATTTGTTCTTGAATCAAAAGAAGATTTTATTGTTCAAAAATTTGAAAGAATAGAAAAAAATATTAAACAAATAATTGAAGAAGAATTTACTTGTTTATTTGAACTTGTAGATAGAGTTAAAGATATGGTTATTGAAATTCTTAAAGAACAAGTAATATTTTTAAATGAAGAAATTATAAGAAAAGAAAAAGAAGAAGAAAAAGCAAGAGAAAAAGAATTTATTGGATCAACAAAAAAAACATTTGAAGAATGGTGGAAAGATAAAGAAAAAGAAAGAAAAATTACACTTGAAAAAATTAAAAGAGAGAAAGAGGCAGAAATTAATAGAAAGAAAGGAAGAATGACAGGTAAAGAATTTTTTATGAATAATCCAAGAATGGTAGAACAACTTAAAGAAGAAAATATAAGAAAAGAAGAAGAAGAAGAAGAAAAAGTTGAAGAAACACTTAAAGAACAAGGAGTAGATTTAGAGATGTTTACAGAAGAATTAGATATTTAAATGAATAAAAAAGAAGAAGAAAGAAAAAATTATTGATTGTTAGTTTATTTTAAAAAGAAATAAAAAAAAATAAAAAATAATAATAAAAAAATAAAAAATAAAACAAGAATGGAAGCAACAATAAATACACAAAGTGATTATACATTTAAAATTTTAATTATAGGAGAATCAGGAGTTGGAAAAACAGCAATATTAGAAAGATATTGTGAAAATATATTTAATGAATCATTATTATCAACTGTTGGAGTAGATTTTAAATCAAAATATTTTACAATAGAAGGAAAAAAAATTAAAGTACAACTTTGGGATACTGGTTTGTTAATAAAATAAAATATTTAAAAATTCAAAGAAATAAAAAATATAATAAATAGCTGGACAAGAAAAATTTAGAAATATCACTACATCATATTATCGTGGAACACATGGATGTATTATAACATATGATGTTACAGATTTAAATAGTTTTGAAAAAATAACATATTGGTTACATGAATTAGGAAATGAAAAATATCAACCAGAAATTATTATTTTAGGAAATAAAATAGATGCAAAAGATAAAAAAGTTACAAAAGAAATGGTAGAAAATTTTAGTAGACAAAATGGAGGAATAAAAGTATTTAATTGTAGTGCAAAAACAGGAGAAGGAGTTGAAGAAGTATTTACAGAAATAGTTAATTCAATAATTAAAAATAAAAATATAATGGGAAGAATGAGAACAAATACAGGAATAATGATGGAAGAAGTAAAAGAGAATCAGAAAGAAAAAGAATGTTGCTAAAAAAAATAAAAAAAAATAAATTGAAAGATTTTGTTATATATTTCAAAAAAAAAGAATAATAAAAGAAATAATAAAAGAATAAAAAAGAGAAAGAAAACCCTAAAAAAAAGAAAAAAAAGAACTTAAATAAGTAAAAAGAAATGGCAGAAGTTATCTTATATGAAAGTCCTATTGGATATGCATTATTTAAAGTAAAAGAGAAAGAAGAAATAGGAAAAGGAGAAGAAATTGAAAAATCTATAAATAATTTTGGGAAATTTTCAAAGATAATAGGATTAGAAGCATTTGTAGAATTTAAAACATCAGAAGAATTACTTGAAAATATTAATGCAATATCAGAAGGAGTACTTCATGAGACATTAAGAAAATTTTTAGAAGAGAATGTTAAAAAAAGAGTATTAGGAATAATTGAAGAAAAATTAGGAAGTGCAATTAGTGAAACACTAAAAATTAAATGTACAAAAGGAAAAGAAGTAAATAGTGTTATTAGAGGAATTAGAATACATTTTAGTAAATATTTAAAAGATATTACAAATGAAGATATTAGAACAGCTATGTTAGGACTTGGACATAGTTATTCAAGAAATAAAGTTAAATTTAATGTTAATAAACAAGATACTATGGCAGTTCAAGCTATATTTTTATTAGATCAATTAGAAAAAGATATGAATACATTTAGTATGAGAATTAAAGAATGGTATTCATGGCATTTTCCAGAATTATATAATATTTTAAATAATGATAATAAAAAATTTGTTAAAATCGTATTAATTATTCAAAATAGACATTCAATAAATGATAAAAAGAAAGAAGAAATAATTAAAATTACAGATGAAGAAACAGCAGAAGAAATTATTAAAGCAGCAAATTCATCAATGGGATTTGATGTAAATGAATTTGATCTTCAAAATATTCAAAGATTTGGAGAAAGAGTAACAGAATTATATTTATATAAAGAAAAATTAGAAGAATATCTTCATTCAAAGATGACAACAATTGCACCAAATTTAACGGCATTAATTGGAGATAGTGTTGGAGCAAGATTACTTTCTAAAGCAGGAAGTTTAACTAATTTAGCTAAATATCCAGCAAGTACACTTCAAATTTTAGGAGCAGAAAAAGCATTATTCCGAGCTATTAAAACAAGAGGAAATACACCAAAATATGGAGTTATTTTTGGAAGTACATTTATTGCAAGAGCAGAAGCTAAGAATAAAGGAAGGATTAGTAGGTTTGTTGCTAATAAAGCATCTACAGCAGCAAGAATAGATTGTTTTGGAGAAATTGCTACAAACAGATTTGGAGAAGTTATGAAAGAACAAGTTGAAGAACGAATGGAATTTTTAAAGAGTGGAAAAGTTCCTAAAACAAATACAGATGTAATGGAAGAAGTTATGAAAGAACTTCATTGGAATGAAGAAGAAGGAAAGAAAGAAAAAATTAAAGAAACAGAAGAAGAAAGTAGTACAAGAAGTGAATCAGAAAGTGAATCAACATCAGAGGAATAAAAAGAGAAGAATTGATTTGATTGCAAAGAAAAAGGATTTTTAATTTTTTTTAAGAAGAAAAGTTTTTTTTTTCATAAGAAAGATAAATAAAAACTTAATTTTTTTAAATAAATAAAAGAAATGAATGATGGAATAAACAAATCAACATTTCTTATCATTGAAGATAAAAAACAAAACCATCCTATGGTTAAAGAAATAGGAGAAATTAAAAAAGGATTTACACATAAAATAGAACGTAGTAATGTTCTCTCAAGAGCAGAACTCTTTCTACCAATGTTTAAAGAATCAAATAAATATGTTAAACAAGGAGAATGTGAACCAGAAATTCAAGAAAATCAAGAAGAATTAAGAGAAAAAAAAGAAGAAAAAGAAGAAAAATGTTATGTAGAAATGAATGTTGCAGTTGGAATATTAGAAGAAAAGAATAATGAAGAGGAGAGTGAAGAAGAAAAAGAAGAACAAAAAATGGTAGAAGAACTCTGAATGATTATTTGAATGGTTTTTTGTAAAAAGTTAAAAAAATAATAAATAAATAAATAAAAATAAATTAAAGAATTTAAAAAAAAAAAAAGAAAAAGAAATAATAAATTATAAATTATAAAATTTTAAAGAATGACATCATATCAAAAAACTAATGAAACAGGTAAATGTGAAATGTGTAATAAAGAAATTAGAGGATTTCATCATCTTTATAAATGTTCAAAATGTGGATTTGGAGTTTGTTCAGAATGTCTAAAAAAAGGACCTACATGTAGATGTAATCAAGGAATGATACCACTGACAGAAGAACAAGAAAGAAAAATGAATATATTAATGGAAATGGGATTTCCTGATTATATTTGTATATTTGCATTAAAGAAATATAAATGGAATGTTGAAGAAAGTATTCCATGGATTATTGATAATATTCGTACATTTCCAAAACCAGAAAAACAAGAAAAAAAAATAGAAGAAAAAGATAAAAAAGAAGAAGAAATAATTTATTTAGAAGATGAAATGAAATGGAAAGAAAAAATAGAAGAAGGAGAAATTATTTCAAAGAAAAAAAAAAGAATAAATAATAAAAAAATAAAAGAAGAAGAAAAAGAAGAAGAAAAAGAAGAAGAATGGCATGAGGATGTATTTGATGATGAATTATATGGAAATGGAGAAAGTGGAGATCCAAGAATAGAAAAATATTATGAAGTTATTGAAGCAAAAGATATTATAAAAATGATTAAAGAAGAATGTGAAAAAGAATCAGAAATATTAAATATTAGTCCAGGGAATGTTTCAATACTATTAAAAAGATATGGGTGGTCAAAAGATAAATTAGAAGAAGCATATTTTTCAAATTATGAAAAAGTATATAAAGAAAATGGAATAATAATTAATAAAGAAAAAAAAGAAAATATAGAAAAAAATTGTCCAATTTGTTATGAAGAAGGAGAAATGATTAGTTTAAATTGTGGACATTATTTTTGTAAAAAATGTTGGGAAGAAAGAATAAAAACAATGATTGAAAGTATAGGAAGTAATGTTGTTGAAAGTTTATGTATGGAACAAGGATGTTTATGTAAAATTAATTATGAAATTATAGAAGAAATAGGAAATAAAAAAATATATGAAAGATTTATGTATTTTATTAGTAAAGATTTTATTAATCATAAAAAAAGTTATGTATTTTGTCCAGTAGATACATGTGGAAGAGCAATTCATTATTTTGATACATCAAGAAAAGAAGTAGAAATTAATTGTAAATGTGGACAAAAATTTTGTTTTAAATGTGGAAGAGAAATGCATAAACCAATATCATGTTTAGAATTTATGAAATGGAATGATTTAGTAACAAATGATTCAGAAAGTATGAAATTTGTTAATACTATTTCTAAACCATGTTTTCATTGTGGATTATATACAGAAAGAGTTGATGGATGTAATCATATGACATGTTGTAGATGTCATGGAGAATGGTGTTGGATGTGTCGAGGAGATTGGAAAACACATGGACCACAAACAGGAGGATTTTATAAATGTAATTTATATGAAAAATCAGAAGCTAAAAAATTAGATGATCAAACACAAAGATTAAAAGAAGAAAATAAAAAATTTTTAGAATATTTTGATGAATATATTAAATATAATAATTTAATAAGAGAAATTAATAAAGAAGAAGAAATATTACATAATATAGAAATAAATAATGAAAAAATTACAGGAAAATCAAATCATGAAATATTAGAAGCAGCAGAAATTTGTAAAGAAGCATATAATATTATTAAATATTCATTTGTATTTGAATTTTTTATTAAAGAATATGAACAAATTTATAAATTATTTAATTTCCGTCAAAAGAAAGATATTGAAAGAGTAAATGAATTAAGAGAAATATTAAAAAAAATAGAAAGAACAGGAATAATTGATATTCAAAAATTAAGACAATTAATAGAAAATGTTAAAAAAGTTACAGAATCACTTTCTGATGTATCTACTGAAAATCTTATGAAAAATAGATTTGAAGAAATTAAAAAGAAAAAAAAATAAATAATTAATCTTTTTCTTCTAATTCTTTGATTTAAAATAAATTAATTTAATTTTTCATTAAAATCATAGCACCAATACTTATAATTCCAAAAATTACAAAAAGAATTGTTATTGTACAACATAATTGATCTGGTCCTCTTACATATTCTAATATTTTTTTTAATTTTATATTTTTTTTATCTAAATGTAAAATTTCTTTATTTACATTTTTTGTTATTAATTCAATTTTTATATTTTGTTTATCTACTTGTTGATTAAGATTATTAGCAACTTCTTTTAAATCTTTAACTCCTTCATGAATTATATTTAATTTATTATCAATATTTTGATCATTTTTTTCAATCTCTCTAATTCTTTTATCATCATTTTCTGGAAGTGAACTATTATTAAATCCATCAATTCCATTAATATGAATATTTTCTTTAATTTTTATTCCTCTTTTTGCAATCATTTTCATTGTTTCAATTTCTTCTTCTACTGTTTTTAATGAAAGTCTATATTCAATTAATTTTTCATCTTTTTCTTTTTTCTTTTTTATTTGTTCTGTTGCATATTCTTGATATTCTTTTCTTAATTCTTCATACATTTTATCAATATTATTAATTTTCTTTTTTATTTCTATTGTAAGTTGAACAACTGTTGTATATTTTTCTTTTGAATCTTCTTTTACTCTAAGATCACATAATTTTTCAACATCACAAACTTGAAGATAAATCTGTTGTCTTTTCTTAGTAAATGAATCAATAATTCCTTCTTTTTCTTTATTATTTAATTTATTTTCTTTTAATGAAATTCCACATTCTTCTACTATAATTTTAAGTGTTGTTTCTAATCTATTCATTAAATATTTATTCATTCTTTATCTTAAATAATCTTGTCTTTTCTTTTCATATTATCTAATATTCTTATTTAATTATTTTATTTTATTTTTTATTTTCTAAAAATACAAAGATAAATGAAAGAAAAACAAAAGAAACCCTTTGAACTTAAAAAAAAGAAAAAAGATAAGAAAGAATGATTATTCCAGTACGATGTTTTACATGTGGGAAAGTAATTGGAAATAAGTGGGAGAAATTTCTTGAATTAGCTACAGGAGGAAAAGTTCCAATGGATCAAGTTTTTAGTGAACTTGGGATTGAAAGATATTGCTGTAAACGAATGTTAGTGTCACACGTTAATTTGATTGGGTTCTTATCAATGTATGATTTACCATCAGAAAGTCTAAAGAAAGCATAAATAAGTAAAAATTGTATTAGAAATAATTTTTAAAGGTTTTTATAAAAGAAAGTAAAAATAATTTTTTTTTAATAAAGAAAAAGAAAAAAACTAAGAAATAAAAAAGAATGGAATATCATAAAAGAAAACGATCTAATTCTAGACATAGAAGTAGTAAAGAAATAGAAAAAAGTCAATATAGAAAAATAGGAAGAGAATGGGGAGATAGTATTTATGTTAAAATTGCAAGAAAAAAAGAAAAAGAAAAGAAAGAAAAAGAAAATAATATACTTGAATTTTATGATGAAGAAATTAATGATCAACAACATCAAGAAATTGAATTATATGAATTACTTAATAAAAAAGAAGAAAGAGATAATTGGATTGAAAATCAATTACAAGCATCAGGAATTATTAAAGAAAGTAGAGAAATTAAAGAAGAAGTTGAAGATATAGAAGTTATTGTTAAAAAAATTATTCCACAATTTATGGAAGGAAAACATAATAAATTAGAAGAATCAAAAGTTATAATTCCAATTAAAGATCCAAGTAGTGATATTGTAAAATTAATAAAAAGAGGAAGTGAAACATTAATTAAATTTAAAGAAAGAAAAGAAAGAGAAAAAAGTAGTAGAGAAATATTAGAAAATGAAAGTATAATTAAAAAAATAATAAAAAAAGAAGAAAATATAGAAGAAGATAAAATTGAAGATAAAGAAGAGATAAATAAAATTGAAGAAAAAATTGAAGATAAAGAAGATAAAATTGAAAAAAGAAGAGAAATTAAAAAAATAAGAGAAGAATTACCAATATTTTTTAAGAAAAAAGAAATTATAAGAAGTATTAAAGAAAATCAAATTAATATCATTATTGGAGAAACAGGAAGTGGTAAAACTACACAAATTGCACAATATTTAATGGAAGAAGGGATTGGAAAAAATGGAAAAATTGGATGTACTCAACCAAGAAGAGTTGCAGCAGTTAGTGTTGCACAAAGAGTTAGTGAAGAAGTTGGAAGTAAATTAGGAGAAGAAGTTGGATATCTTATTAGATTTGAAGATAAAACAAGTAAAAAAACAAAAATCAAATTTATGACAGATGGAATATTATTAAGAGAAGTAATTAAAGATCCAATGTTAGAAGAATATAGTGTTATTATAATGGATGAAGTACATGAAAGAAGTCTTAATACAGATATTTTATTTGGAATTATAAAAAGAATTATTCAAGAAAGAAATGATCTTAAATTAATTATAACAACAGCTACAATTAATGAAAATAAATTAATAGAATTTTTTGGAATAATTCCTATTATTCATATTGAAGGAAGAACATTTCCTGTTAGTGTTGAATATCTTAAAACAACACCAAAAGATTATATTGAAATGGCAATAAAACAAATACTTTCAATTCATATGAATCAAGAAAAAGGAGATATTTTAGTATTTATGACAGGACAAGAAGATATTGAAGTAAGTTGTGAATTATTAAAAGAAAAATATAAAGAAATAAAAGAAGAAAAAAAACAAGAAATAGAAATTATTCCTATTTATTCACAATTATCAAATGAAGCTCAAAAAAAAATATTTATTAAAAGTAATAAAAGAAAAGTAATTATTTCAACAAATATTGCAGAAACATCATTAACAGTAAAAGGAATTAAATATGTTATTGATAGTGGATTAGGAAAATGGAAAATTTATAATCCAAAAATTGGTATGGAAACATTACAAATTTTTCCAGAAAGTAAACAAAATGCAGAACAAAGAAAAGGAAGAGCAGGAAGAACAGAAACAGGAATTTGTTATAGATTATTTACAGAAAATACATTTAAATATGAATTACTTGAAAGTCCTATTCCAGAAATTCAAAGAAGTAATTTAAATAATGTAATATTAGAATTAAAAGCAATTGGAATTAATGATATTAATAAAATTGAATTAATTGATAAACCAAATGAAGAAAGAATTTTAAATTCAATGTATGAATTATGGATATTAGGAGCATTAGATGAAATAGGAAATATTACAAAATTAGGAAAAGAAATGGTTGAATTACCTCTTGAACCATCATTATCTAAAATGGTTATTATTTCACAAAAATTTGAATGTATAAAAGAAGTACTTACTATTGTAGCAATGTTAACAGTTCCAAATATATTTATTAGACCAAAAGAAAGAGAAAAAGAAGCTGATATAAGTAGAGAAAAATTTTATCAACCTGATAGTGATCATATTACACTTATTAATGTTTATAATCAATGGAAAGAACATGAAGAAAATGAACAATGGTGTAATAAAAATTATATTAATTCAAAAGCAATGAATAAAGCAAAAGATATTAGAAATCAATTAAAAGATTTAATTAATAAAAAAGGAATTAATGAAATTTCATGTGGAAGAAATTTAGATAAATTAAAAAAATGTATTACTGCTTCTTATTTTTATAATGCTGCTAAATTAAAAGGTAAAAATTATATTAATTTAAGAACAGGTGTTCAATGTTTAATTCATCCAACATCAGCATTATTTAATATGGGTTTTAAATCAAAATATGTTATTTATCATGAATTATTACTTACAACAAAATCTTATATGAGATGTATTACTTCTATTGAAGGAAAATGGTTACCTGAATTAGGTGAAATATTTTTTAAAACTATTTAATTAAAAATTATTAATTTTTAAAATTTTAATTTTTAAACAAAACAAAAATTAAAAAAAAAAGAATTAAATAAATTATTTAATAGAGATAAACTGAATGTTTTAATTTATCTCTACACCATGGTTTCATTTTATAAAATTCTTCTCTTGAAACACCAAAAACTTGTTGGAATTCTTCATCAGATAAATAAGTTTCAAGAATACTTTTATCTACTCCAAATGGTCTTGGTTTTGTTATTAATTCAGCATAAGTATATCTTGTTCTACAATATTCATCAAATAATTCTTTAGCATCTATTTCAGTAACTTTATTTCTTTTTTCCATTTTTGGGAAAATAATACTTTGATCAACTTTAATTCCATCTATTTCAATTGGTTCACTAGGATTTTTAATAGATTTAATTCTTTTTCCTTCAATAATTATTTCATTTTTAAGGATTGGATCTATTTCTTTAAATGTTCCATTAATTAATTGTATTATTAATTCAATTTCATTTTTTTGACAAACAGGATAATTTTGTCTTAAATTATTTTTTCTTAATAAATTTGTATCACTCCATGCTTCAAATAATGCTCTAAATTCCATACTTTCTTCATTTTCTTTTTCAATTTTAACTTCTTTAAGTCCTCGTTCTTCTGCACATTTTAATGCAAATTGTAATGAAAATTTTTTTGTTTCATTTAATGCTTTACTTCCAAACCATAACCATATTTTTCCTGCATCAATTAAAAATACATATTCTTTATTAAAATCATTTTGATTTGGTTGTTCAATTTCTTCAATATCAACTGATGTTATCCAAAATGTAAATTTAAATAATCTAATTTGATGATAATTTTCTTTACTTTTTTCTATTCCTTCTATAAATTCAATATTTCCTCCAATTAATTTTTTACATATTTCTTGATTATAATTTATTGGTAATTTAAATTCTTCTCCCATCATTTTTACCATTTTTTTTTCTTCTTCATTACATTCTTTTCCTTCAATAACTTCAATTCCTTTAATTGTTTTAAATAAATAAATACTTCCTATCATTAATTTCATTCCTTTTCCTTTTTCTTCTAATTGATAACTAATTGGTATTTGAGTTGCTTTACAAAGATATTTTTCTCTTCCTCTAATTTCATAGATTTCTGGTCTTTTATCATAATATTCATTATATCCTCCTAAATGAATAATAAATTTTCCTTTAAATATTTTTAAAAATTCTTTTGGTTCTTTTCCTTGTACAACTCTAACTTGAACTGATGTATCAACTGTTCCACTTGTTTCAACTACTTTATGTGCTAATGTTCCCATATCCATTATTGATGCATCTCTTCCTTGCCAAAAATAAACAATATGTTGTGCTTTTTCACTTCCTTCTGGATAAAATGTATATTGAATTAAAAATGCTTCTTTACTAAAAAAATGTCCATATAATTCTTTTGGATATTCAACTGTATTATGTTCTTCAATTCGTTTAATATTATATGTTCCTTCTTTAAAATTATTAAAAATCATTTTTCCATTATTATTTAATATTATTTCTGTAAAATTTTTTATTTTATTTTCTTTCATTTCTAAAATCATTGTTTCTATTTTTTTTTGTGGTTTATGTTCAATTTCTTTATTATTAATTTTTTGATTTTCAATTCCTCCTCCCATTTGAATTGGTAATGTTCCTGGATAATTACTAAATTTTTCTTTAAATATTATATTTTCTCCATTTTGATTAATTTTTACCATAATTATTGCTTTATTTCTTTTTCTAATTTCATTTCCAATAATATTTCCTATTTTTTTACATATATTTGTTGCTGTTATACTTTGCCATACATATATTTCTGTTTTTGTACTAATAATATTAACTGTTCCTTCTTTTAATATTTCTTTTGGTGGTAATGTTGTATTTCCATGTTCATAAATCATTCTAACATTTAATATTTTTTTTTCTTTTTTTTCATCATAAACTATTCTATATATTCTAATTATTTCTGCTTCTTCTTTATCTTGTTCTTCTGTACTTTTATATTTTTTTTCTTTTTCTAAATTATTATTATCTAAATTAAATTTTGTTGCTTCAATTCCTAATTTTTTCCACATATCTGATTCTCTATCATCTTTACCATGTGTTAATAGTATAACTTTACATTTATCTCTTTCTTTTTCTGAAATTCTTCTTGCTAATTCTTCTGCTTTAGATCTATTAACTTTAGGTGAATATTGTCCTCTCCAAACATAAATTCCTTCTTTACAAAGTAAAACATATGAATTCCATGGATTTAATTCTTTTTGTTTTATATCAATAACATATGATCTTAATCTTCTTCTTCCTTTAATTTGAATAAGAAGTGAAGGTTCTCCTTTTATTAATTTTTTAAAATCTGTAAAATATTCTTCTCCTAAATTTGATTTTTCTTGAATATATTCTTCATTAATTTCATTATCATTATTTAAAATATTTCCTCTAATTCCAAGTTCATTTAATATATCTCTTGTTCTTTTTTTTCTTTCCATAATTTCTTCTTTCCATATTTTACATTCTTGTGTTTTAAATTTATATATATTTCCTTTTTCTTTCATTTTAATATTCATTTCTCCTTTATCTTCTTTAATATCAATATCTTCAATATCTTCTAAATATATTTTTATTATTGGTTTACTATCTATTCTATTTTTAAAAATAAATATTTCATTTGCAACTAATGTAAAAATAATTTTATAATATCCTCCAAATATTCCTTTAAAATAATATTCCATTTCATCTTGTGCTGGTGTTCTTCTAAAATCTTCTAATTCTTCATCTGCTTCTTCTCCTTTTAAATTATTTGGTGTACATGCATTAATCCATTTTTCCATTTCTTCTTCATTTTTACATGCTAAATGAATAACATTTCCTTTACTTGTTAATTGAAATGTATTTTTTCCATATGATTTTGGAAAAATTCCTTCTGTTTTACTTAAATGAATTATTCTATTTAAAAAACATTCCATTTCACTATTTCCTATTGCTTCTTGTGTCCACCATGTAATATTTTGACTATATAAAATTCCTTTTTCAATATAAAAATATTTATGTTTAATTGTACTAAACATTGTTGGTTTAATACAATATAATAATCCTTCTATTTCTCTTTCTGTTTTTATTTCTTCTTTTTTTATTTCTTTTTTTTCTTCTTCTTCTTTTATTTCTTCTGCATTTTCTTGAAGAATTTCAAATGTTGTTTGCCATTCTTCTGCTTCTTTTTGATTATTAACAAAATAAATATATTGTTTTTTAACTTTTCCTTTAATTACTTCTTCACTTTCTTCATTAATATCAATAACAATTCCAATTTTTCCTTCAATTTCTTCTGTTCTATTAAATCCTATAATTTCTAATATATTAATAATATTTTCTGGAATTGGATCATCTCTATTATTAAAAATCATTAAATATTTTTCATTCATTTCATACCATCTTTTAATATAACTATTCCATATCCATCCTCTTTCTATTTCTTCAATTTCTCCATTTAATTTTAATTTTTTGATTTTTTTCCCTTGTGTTAAATTATATTTTTCTAATTTTTCTTGTATTTTACTTTTTCCTCCTTCTGAAATTCCAATTTCATAAATACTTTTCATATGTTCTGGTTTTAATGAAATACTACTTCTTCTTCTAGAATTTCTTTTACTTCCTCCTTGTTGACTAGATCTTCTTTTATTTATATTATCTTCTTGTATTTTTGGAATAAGCCATTCTCTTGCTGTATATTCTGGAATTCCACTAAATACATTTTCATATAAATCTTCTTGATAAATTGAATTTCCTTCTTTTCTAGGTAAATTAAATGAAACTTTATATAATGTATCACATTTACTATTTAATAAAATAAATCTTCCAATTTCACATTTTTTAACATCATATAATCTTTGTGGTATAAATGCACTTCCAAATATTCCTTCTTGAATATTTGTTTTTCCTAAATTAATTAAATTTCTTCCTTGAATTTCATATGTAAATATTTGATTTCCTCTTCCTGTAAGATAAATTATATTATTATTATTATCATAATAAATATTTAATGGTGTTGGTTGATTATCAATAATACTTTTACTAATAATTCCTTCTTTTCTTTGATCAAATAAACTTATTGTTCTTTCTCCTTTTTTACTAAATCCACTAACTACAATATATTCACTTCCTTCAATAAATATTCCTTTTAATCCTTTTGTTGTTTCTCCAACTCCATAACTTATAATTGATTCACTTGATACTCTTGGATCATAAAGTCTATACATACAATCTTTAGAAATTGTCATTAAATTTTCTCCATAATATCCTTCCCAATTTAATGTTAATATTTCTGTTTCTTTATTATTGACTTTAATTACTGCTTCATTAGCTTCTGTAATATCATATACTTTAATTATTCCATCTATACAACTACTTGCAATTAAATTATCTGCATATGGATGAAATGTAATATTACTAATTCTTTTTTCTTCTTGAATATTAACTTTTGCTTCATTAATATCTTTTGTTAATCCATCTGGCATAATATCCCAAATTTTAATACTACAATCTCTAGATCCTGTACAAATCATTCTTTCATGAAATGGTGAAAATTCAAATGTTGTTATTTGTTGTTTATGTGCTTTAATAACAAATGGTTTATCACTTATTCTTTCTGCTTTATTCATTACTCCAATATACATTAATCCTTCTCCATTTGATTTCCATGGTATTCCATAAAATTTACTAGATACTTGAATAATTGGTTCATTTCCAATATTTGGATGTACATTTCTTATCCATGTATTAGAATTCCATGTTTCTCCATAAATATTTTTAAATTTACTTCCTGATACTGCTTTAGCATTAGCACTAATAGTTAATGTTCTTCTTGAAATACTCATTCTATTCTTAGTTTTAGAGTTATTAATTTAATAGATGATCGTTATTTCTTTCTCTATTCTTGTCATTTTTATTTTTATCCTTTTTCAATTTTTCTATTTTTCTTTTTAATATTTTCTTATTTTTTTAAATATTATTTATAAATTCTTTATATTTAAAATCTTTTTAATTAATTTATAAATTTTTTTTTTAAAGTAAATTAATTTTATTCTAAATATGTTTCTAAAAAGACTTTTTGTGTTCCAGGAGTAACTGAATCATATTCTATAGATAATTTGTAGATTGAATTCTAAATGAATAAAAAATATATATTCTTCTTAAATAATTAATAATAAAAAAACAAAAGAAAAATAACAAACTAGAATAAATGGATATTGTTTTATAAAATTTTGAAGTTGAATAAAAAGAATAAAACAATTATTATCATCAGGAAGTGAAATTTTATAAAGAATTCTTAACCATAATACATGAATAACAAATAATGGTTGTTCATTAATAGATTGAATAAGTAATTGTGTTAATTCTTTTGATTTTAATATTATTTCAATTTTATTATTTGTTTTCCATATTCCAATAATTTTATTTGTTAATAAACAAAGTAATAAATAAACATTTTGTATTATACCTTGAGCAAATGGAACAAATGGATTACATATTATTTTATTATTATTAATTATTTGTTCTTGTATTATTTCATTTAATTTAATATTTTGTGTTATATCTTCTTCTTCTTCTTTTATATATTTTTCATACATTTTATTTTGAGAAATATAATATAAAACTTCTTTTTCTTCATAATGAAAAAACCATACAATAATAATTAATATTGATTCATTTTTAATATTTGGATATTCATTTTTAATAAATTTTATTAATGATCCTTTATATTCTTTCATTTTTGAAAATAATTTAATTACATTAAATTCTTTTCCTATTTGATTTGAATAAAATGGTAAAATATTACATTGATTAATATTCATAAAATCAATTTCACTTTTACAATATTTAATTTTTTCTTTTAATTCAATTTTTTCAAATTTAACACTTGGAAGACTTAAATTTTCTCCACATTTTTTTATCATTAAATAAACTCCTGCATTTATTTTCTTTTTATTAAAACAAAATTCAATAATTAAATCTAAAAGATTTTCTATTTTTTGTTTATTTGAATATAAAATAATATCAATTATCATTTTAATAAATTCATCATCACAAATTTCCATTAATGGAATAATTTTTATAACTAATAATTTTTGTTCAAGTATATTTTTATAATATTCTATTTCTTTTCCATTTATATAAAAATAAATAATATTTTTAATAATTGATTTAATAATATATTGATCTTCTATTATTAACATCTTTTTATTATTTATCATATCATTTATTAAATTTGAAAATATTAAAATTGCTTTTTTAAATTCTTCATTTTTTTGTTTTATCTTTAAAATATCTTCTTGAATATATAATGAACTACATTCATTTATAACAAGTATTAATTTTTTATATTCTTTATGATTTTTTGGTTTTCCAAGTATTTTTATTTCTTCTTGAATTGAATATAATGTTGTTCCATAAAATTCTGCTCGATTTTGATATTTTTCTAATATAAAATCTTTATAATGTTTATATGCTGCTGGATGCATTGCCATAGGAATAAACCATGATGGTGCAATTATTTGAATAAAATTATTTGGTAATGAAATATCTGAATTTATTAAAATAAATAATGCTTGAATAAAAGAGAATGGTTTAATTATTATTTCTGATGAAATCTCTCCAAATATTTGATATATTATTTCTGCTTGAAATATTTTACTTATTTCATCCATAAATAAACTAAATTTATTCCATTCTTCTATTGTATGTTTAATTAATAAATATTCTTGTATTGTTTTAATAATTATTCTTACTATTTCTTTACCATGTTCTAAATTTTCTCCAATTGTTTTTTCTAATATTTTTTCTTTATTATTTATTAGTGGTAAATGTTTTTTACAACAATTAAATCCTCCATTTCTAAATATTCCACAATCACAATATCCTACTGCATTTGTATATTCTTGAACTTTATGTCCAATATGTTCATTTCTATTAAAACATTCATTACAAATAATTACATTCTTTCCATAGCATGTTGTACATCTATAACTTATTTTAAGTCGTTGAAGACATTGTCTTCTAGGTGTAAATTTTGAGAAATAATTAATAATATCATTTAATGTTGTAATTTTAAAAACTTGATTAATAAAATAATTAATATCATTATTTGTATTTAAATATTCTTTCAAATATTTAGGAAATTGATTTTTAAATTCAGAAATTTGAATAGAATGAAAATGATCAATGATGGATGACATAAAGTGAAGTTTTGTATAAAAATCTTTTTAATTTTAAAAAAAAAATAAAATAAAATTTAAAATAAAAAATAAAAAGAAAAGAAAAAAAAAACTGTTTTTCATAAGAAATGCAAAATACTTACTTTGTTATTATTGGAAGTAATGATAGATTACTTTATGAATATCCAAAAGAAAGTGCAATGAAATATGCATCAGATAATGAATATGTTTTAAATCAATTTGTTATTCTTTCAGCATTAGATTTTATTGAAGAAAAGAAAAAAACAACACCAAAAATGTATTTTAAATCAATTGATGTTTATGGATCACACCATTTATCTGCATTTGTTACATCAGGAAATATTAAATTTGTATTAATGTCAACAAGTAAAACTGATGATACAAAAGGATTTTTTACATCAGTTTATGAAGATTATGTTAAAATTATTTTAAATCCATTTTATGAATTACAAACACCAATAGAATCAGAAGGACTTAATACACATATTAAACAATTATTAAAACAATACAAATTAGAATAATTGAAATTTTACAAAAAGAAAATAATTTAAGATAAAAAAAATTAAGAAAAAAATAAAGGGTTTTTTAGAAAAAAAAAAAAGAACTTAAAAGAAACAATATAATATATGGGAAGAAATCCTTTTAATCAAACTATTCATCATGAACGTCAACAACCAAAATCAATGAAAGGTTTAGGTAAACTTGAAAGAAGAAAAGATTTTATTAAACGAGCACATATTAGAAAATTACAAGAAGAAACAACAACATATTTAAAAAGAAAAGCATCTAATAAAAATCCAGATGAATTTAATTGTAAAATGCAAAATATGAGATTACAAGGAAAAATAGTAATTGATATTAGACCAAAAGAAGGACAAAGTGCACAAGAATTAGAAAGATTATTAATGATACAAAAGAATGCATTAAATCGATTACAAAAAAAGAAAATTTTTAATCGAGAAAAAAGAATTGTTTTTGATGAAGAAGGAAAAGGAATAGAAAAAGAAGCAATTGATTTAGTAGATGTAAGTAAAATAAAAGAACAAATAGATATAAAAAAAATTAATGAAGAACAAGAAAAAAGACAACAAAAAATTAATAAACTTCAAAAAGAAATTAAAATAACAGAAAGAAAATTACAAGAAATAAGTAAAATTGAAAGAGAAAAAGATAAAAGAAAAAAAATAGAAATTAAAGATGAATATGGAGATATTATTGCAACACATTATCAAAATACAAGAAAAAAATAAAAAAAATTATAAAATGTAAAGAAAAATTTAATAAAATTTTTAAAAATTAATTTTTATTTTAATAAAAAATTAAATTAATTATAAAATTTTAATTATAAAATTTTAATTGTCCATGATCCTTGTTTAGTTGCTTGTTTTAAATATATTGGAATATCATTTCTATCAATTTTCATTTTTATTATATTTATTCCTGAAATTATTGTTTTTTCTGCTTCAAATTCTACACAAACAAATGGAAAATCACTTATTAATGGTTGAATTCCTTCTTTATAATTAAATTTAATTATTCCATTTCCTATAATATTCCATTTAATTTTTTTATTATTTTGAATATTATCATCTTCTATTTGTCCTTCTCCTTCAATTATTTTAACATTTTCTATATATTTTGGTTTATTAAATATTAACCAACATTTTCCTATAACTCTTTGTTTAATTATACTATTAAATTTAATATATGTATCTCCTTTTTCTATTTTAATTTTAACATCAAATGGTGCAATAATATTATTTTTTAATTTATATGTTAATACACGAATAGATCCAAATTTTAATGGTATATTTAATATTCCATTTATTGGTTTATTTCCTTTAATTTCAATATTATCTGGATATTTTAAATATAATGTTAATGGAATATTTTCACTACTTTTTACATTAATAATTCCTTTTATTATTCC